AGAGCCTTGTAGAAAGAACAAAGAAACTTCTAGGAAAATTACGATCTTGACACGTCCTGCTACTCAAAAACAGTAAACTATTTTACATAATGGGATTGCTTTGTCTTTTAAAACAGTCGTTATAGTCAAAGATCAAAACATAAGATTAATGAAAAAGTTCGATTATATATCACTTTATATACTATAGTTATACAATAAATTATATAACTATATACTATAAATTAAGTAATAAAATAATTTTTCACATCTGGTATTTTTAAACGTTTCAATAAAAAATTATACAAATTTTTAATTGATGTTATTATTTTCATGTTAGTCACTAAAGCATTGAAAAGCTGTAAGCATACTTGTAAGCTTGAGATACTAACAAAGGAAGGAACAACTAATAAAAGTTTTAGTTTTTTTTTATTTTATACGCATTAATAATGGAATGTACAAACAGTAAGATATGGTTTTCAGATTATACCTATACATGGTATGAAAAACTAGGAATAAAGATTTTAAATGCTGGTGGTAATATGCCAAAGCATATTGGTTTCATGACGGATGGAAATCGTCGTTCAAGAAAACAAAGCAAAATAAGTTATACTGAAATGCACTTGAAAGGCTTTATATCAATAATTAATTTTATAAAATTATGTTACGACTTAAAAATTGAAGAAGTTTCGTTTATTATTTTCAGTATAGCCAATTTTAAAAGATCATTACATGAGAACCAATCATTATTTGATTTAGGAACAAAATTTTTTAATTATGTACCTATTGAAAAAGAAAAATTTGATGAAATGGGTATATGCTTACGTGTTATCGGCAATATAAGTCTTCTACCACTCGATTTCCAACAATCAATAAAAGATGCTGTAAAAGCCACGGAGCAAAACAAAAAACTTATTGTTAATATAGTTTTATCATATACGTCCCATGATGAAATTACTTATGCAATTGAAACAATATTAAAGCAAGACGGGGAACTGAAAGACGAGGACATAAATGAAAAACTTTTAGAACAGAATTTATACATTTCAAAACCTTTGGACATGATCGTAAGAACTTCAGGAGAAACTCGTTTAAGCGATATCTTAATGTGGCAGGGATATTTTAATTTCATTTTCTAAAAATTAAATTTATGTTAAATTATTGCCTTAAATATTTGTAGCAAAAAAATTGCATAATCTATTTTGAGACAGCACTTTGGCCCCAATTAACATATACTGACTTTTTTAAACATCTTCTATGTTATCAACTAACACAGCGTAAGTCACAAATTCAATAAATTAGAAGCCATAACGCTAAATTCTGGAATGTTAAAAAATAATGAATTGTATGGTATTCATGCTTATTAAAGTAATTTTTAAGTTTTTATTAAGTCTAAGAAAAAATATGGGATAACATTTTCCAACGGACTTTGGACACATTTTACAGCTCTGAACTTTTTGTATTCATTTGCACATGCTTTTTTTTGTCAAATGAAATAAATATATAACTACAAATAATTAGGTGTACATTAAACATATATAGTATTAATTATATAAAACTTATTATTATTTTGCATTTATAATAAATGGTTGAAAGAATTGAATAAAATAAGGGATAAGCAAATTATGTATCAAAAGAATTAATTAAAGTTTTTTTGTTACAAAAACTAACATCTGGCATCTTTATTTTAGAATCTCGAGAAAAAAGATAAGGAAACTAGCTAGCAATTTAAAACTATTACTAGTGTGTTGAGAGAGAAAATAAGTGTTATCAAATGGTTTGCTGGTAGTTTTTTAGTTGATGTGAAGAGTATTGAAGAGTATTTAGATTTTTTGAATAAATAAGACTATATTACGGATTGTTCCTAAAGCAACGGTTCAAATATGACTTGGGTATCTGACTACAAATATCGTTGGTACGAAACGTTTTGTATGAATATTTTGCGAGCCGGTGGGCACACACCTAAACACATCGCCTTTGTTATGGATGGAAATCGACGTTTTGCGAAAGTAGAACACATTGAAAAAGTTGAGGGTCATAGCAAAGGATTCGATACATTATCTAATGTACTGCGTTGGTGCTTGGATTTGGGTATAAACGAGGTTACAACGTTTGCGTTTAGTATAGAAAATTACAAACGATCCCAGGAGGAGGTGAATGGTTTGTTTGATTTGGCAAGAGATAAATTTAAAAGATTGATTGATGAAAAAGATAAGTTAAAGGAACAAGGCGTATGCATACGTGTTATTGGGAATTTATCATTGTTGCCAACAGATTTACAAGAATTAATACATGATGCAATGATAGCAACAGAAAAGAATAACAAATTATTCTTGAATGTTGCTTTTTCATACACCTCACGTGACGAAATAACACAGGCTGTAGAAAAAATATTACTTGATGGTGATGAATTGCAAGCCGAGGATATAAGTGAGTGTTTGCTAGACAAATGTTTATATACTCGAGATTCTCCAGAACCTGATTTATTGTTTCGCACTTCTGGCGAAACTCGAATTAGCGATTTTTTAATGTGGCAGGTATATTTATTTTGTAATATTAAATATTTTTTAATTACTAATTCTAAATGTATTGTATTTTTAGCTTGAGAGCACAGTTCTTTATTTTACAAAAGTGCTTTGGCCACAATTGACAATTTGGCTCTTTCTGGCTGGTATTTTTTCTTACCAGAAAGCTAGTATAAGTATGCAGCCATATAGACGCCAGCTACGCTTGCAACGCGCAGAAAAGGCAGCTAGGAGCAATTTTTACACAAATAGAGTACAAATATTCTTAAATTATATATTTGGTTGTAGAAATAAGTTACGATAAATTAATTTGTAGTATCGGTATTTCGTTATTCAAATTGTTACATTTTATTTCGAAAATAAAATGTGATGTCAAATATATTTCATAGTTAAAAACTTAAATATAAGTTGAATACATATTAGTTAGTCGATCGTTTATTTCCTAAAATTTTTAAAATTGTTTTGAGTCAGTAACTGCTAGAAATCGTAAGCAATTAAGTCTCGGTTGAAATCCTAATAACTAAACACATATGTTTGTTTCTATAATTTTATTTTATAATTTATTTTATTAAAAGTGCTCCAAATAAATGAAATCTATATGTATTCAAGAAACATTATTAATTAATGTTTTGTTGCAGTATTATGTATAATTAAAATATAGAAATAGCGTCTGTTCCTAATTAAAATAAATTTTCAACTAAAGTAGTAGTATGAATTATAGTTGGGCGTTTAATTGCTCTAGATTTTAACATATAAATATTATAATTTATAAATTATCTATAAATATATATAATATAAAAATCTTACGACATTAAATACATATAATTACATTTATATTACATACATATTATGCATAGTATGAATATTAAATGGAGCTAATACAAAAATGATTTAAATATAAAAAAAAAAAAAGATCACAGTATATATTATGCAATTATAAAACATGAGATAAGGCCGAATTAATTCTGCTCCATTTCTTACATCCTTATCATTTATTTATCAATAAGAATTATATATTCAAATTAAATTGTGGAGACATTTCTCTTTATTACTAGTTAAATTATATTAACTTAAATTGTATATTAAACTTTATCAGTAATTGTAAACAAATTTGTGTAATATAAGATATGTGACTATAAAAATTATAAAAATGTTATCAACTATGTTCCAACAAGTTTTAAATTATTTTCTGTGATTGTTTACACAAAAAAGTTGTATAGAACATTAGTTTTAGTTAGACGATTAGGAAAAATATCAACAACTCAATACACTTTACTTGATTTCAGGAGCGGACAGTTTTATTTCGTTATTTTCTATTTCCATTATTAATTTGTCCAGGTGATCGATCAAGTGCCGTGCACGCTTATGAACTATATACATGATATATACATATATACATGATTGTCTCTATTACAAAAAAAAACTGTTCCTGCTTCGATAATAATCTTATTCCGACTTATATTCAAAAATAAATTAACCGCATTATTTTATTTTAAATAAACAATATTTAAGAAAAACACATACATATGTACATTAACACAACTTATACAGGTAATATTTACATTCTTACCAAATTATAATGCTTAATAAATACAAATTATTATTATTTTTTGGTAAATTCAATAGTCTATCGGTGATTTCATGTCAGTTAAATAGGTTACTTCAAATGAATCTGTCGTTTCTTCCATATTTGGTCTTACTGCCGGTTGTAAAAATATGGATTGAATTTTCATAGCATGAGACATTTCCAAATTTCCCATACAGCCATGGAATAGCACATCTGAAATAATTTTACGTGCAAGCGTTTTTTGTCGGCTGTTCATTTCGTTATATTGCATGGCCCATGATTTAGCAAGAGGATCGTTATCAGTAGCATTTTCCTGTAGTTTTGTTACTGCAAGTTGGATCGGTTCATCCTCTTCGTAAGTTGACATTTTGTCTTCGCGGGTTTTCTTTTTTTTTGAAGGTGGTGACAAATTCTAAAATTAAAAATAATTTAAAAAAATTTTTATTAGTTTGAAAAATATATCATGAATATAATATGTTAAACTATTGAAAAATTTTCATAATTTCAGTAGTAACTCTGAGCCCTATAATGTCAGTATTGGCATTAATAAAGGAACTTTAACCATAAGACTAATGAACTAAATTAAAATTCTTCTAAATTAATCTTGCTTAAAACCATTAGTTCCTTAAAGAATAAGCAATAGATAACGTTATTTGATCAGCTCAGGAACCAACTATAAAGCAACATTAACTTCATAAATCCCTAGCTCATCTCAAACATAATGTATAAACATCGTGAAATCGTAAATTTCAACACACCCACACTTTACCAATATCGTTATTTATGTATATTAGAACATCCTCAGGCACCTCAAGATTCGATTAAAAAATACATAAAGAATAGAGTCCTGAAAATATTTACGAAAATTAACAGGCTAACCAACAGCGCGTTATCGAATCTCAAAATGGTTACAGGCTCCTCGGAGAGCTATGCAGATCTGAGGTCAATTATTGCTTAGTCTTAAGAAGTGATAAACAATAATCCAGTCAAAGCGTAGAGAGGGGTTATGAAGAAATCTCACAGTTAGTTAATAGAGACAATAAACATAATAAAAACCGTTTAAATTATTTTTACAACTTGAATGCCTCAGTGGCTACTCAATAACATGACAAGCCTGTTTCTTCAAGTCTGTAATATATTTATTTCAAAATTTTAATCTTGTAAAGAATAGAATAGGTTCCAGTAAAAAATAAGATTAGTAATAAGTCCCGTTGTAGTTGTATTTCGTGTTGGGGAAAGGTGAATTTGTAAGTTTTTTACTTTTTCTAAACAGTAATCCTGAAAAATTTAATACTTGCATTCATGGTTTTTTCACTTTCTAGAGAAGACCAGCCTTTACAACTTTCTTCTTGGTCGGCAAGAAAATGCAGTTTCTTGAAGTACCATAGAGTTGGTACGTAAGCTGGTGTATTTCCCGTAGCTGGTCTTTCTCTTACTTTATTCAGTTCTCTTCTGTAATTTGTGCGTATATTATTAATTTTTCTTATTACAAAGTCTCTATCCGCATCAGTATATTTTGATTGTAGAAAGTCAACCAGATTCGAGTAAGCTTCACTTTTTAAAACTTTATCAGTATATTCCATGCTTTTCACCTTCCACAAACATGGTAATTGTTCATATAATTCAATGAATGCAGACCAAAATTTCTGATCATCCATATTTTTTTGATAACAAAATTCAAAAAAAAATTACAGTCAGATATATAGCAATTCCAAGCGAGGCAGCCACACACGTACAAACCGTTTATGCAAACTAAAATATATTATCATTTTGAGTTACGCTCGTGTTGGCTTAGTCAATACACGCTCACACAAATGGCTCAGACACGCTCAAGCAACTGTGCATGTATATTTATTTTTAGAAACTGTGTGCCTCATGCCATATTTTAATTGCATTACTCACTTGGTATCTACACTAGCTAGAGTTTGGCAAGATTTTTGTATCTCACAAATAAAAATTTATGATTTTGACAAAAAATTAAATTGCTTGCAACAACATTGTCAAAATTTAACTAATATAACTTTAAGTTTTATATTACCACTAAAAACTAACTTTATATGTATACATAACATTTTCGACAGAATATAAACAAAATTAACATATTAAAATATTTTAATATTAAAGACAAATTCTCTCTTCGCTCAGATTTAAGCACAATGGAAATGACAATTTCTTTTTTGGTTTTGATATTTATATTCTTCAATGAAGCTCTAAGCGATTGTTACAATAATAGTAAATGAAAATTTTGATAAAAAAGACCCTAATATAGCATACAACGCTGAAAGGGTAAAGATAAAGAAAACATCTTCAAAGTCTTAAAGTAGCATATGAAATCTAACAGATTAATTTTAATACGCTTTGACTCGTTATTTTTGTAAAAAAATGAGAACTGTTTTTCCCCGTATTTATTGTTTTGTGGTTCTCCCTTTTTGTTTAGAACATTTGTATAAAATAAATTTTCATTTCATTTTCATTTGTATCTTTAAAATATTTTATTTATTGCAAGATGAGTAATTATAATAATAATTGCACAGATCATATAGCATTGGGAAAACAAACGCTTCTCTAAAGAGCAATATTTGAACTAATTTAATATAACTTTGAGTTTCTAAAACGCTTATTAACATAGCAACCAAGTTGTACAATTATGACAACAAAAGTCTACAAATTTGTTAAATTTTTATTTATAAAAACAACAATAGTCCTTTAAAATTAAGCATTCTAGCTCAAAATATTGCTCTATAAAACATACATATTTATCAAAAAGAAATTTAAAACTATATTGATATAAAAGAAACCAAAAAAGTAACAGTTTTCGCTATATTCCAACAGAATTCAAAATTCAATAAACTATTGAACGTAAACGTAAATAGTTTAATTTGTTTTTTCTTACTTCCTCCAAACATTCCTCATCTTCAATATTAAAGTTTGAACTTCTTCTAAGATGCGTTTCTACGTTCCTTAAGAAATCGAGATCTTTAAAGTAACATAAAGTTGGCGTATAGACAACACGCTTTTTTTCACCAAGTCTCATTTTTTTTAGTTCCCTACGGTAAACTGTACGCAGATTGCAAATTCTTTTCTTAACTGTTTCAATATTTGCCTCAGGTTCCACTTGTTTTAGCTTGCTTAGCAGCATTTTATATGCTGTCATTCTTAAATCTTTATTTTTATATTCATCACAACTAATTTGCCACAATGCTGGAAAACTTTCATATAAATGAATAAAATCGCGCAGAAACTGTCGACTAAAAAATCCCGACATATTTCAATCTCGATAGTGACAACTTAACTAATATTTTTAAATGGAGTCAACTAGTTATTTTACTGAATATTAGTAGTACAATATGTCAGCTGCTCCAATGTAATAGAATAATAGTCGTACATCAAACGAACTTGTCAAAGTATGTGAACGCGACCTACACACAACGTATATCAGTTTACAACCTGGTTGGAACGTATCGTATATGCACTTTATATGTAGAAGCATAATTATTTTTTACAAAATGGAATGTCAAAACATAAACATTTATATCAGCATTAAAAATATAATTAAACGGATAACAGCTCAGTTACTTTTATTTTAATTTTTTTTGGCTTGATTTTAGAAATTCCGACAAAAACAAATGCAGTTACATAAGGTGACCATCTCAATAAAATTTGCAGTTTGAAATAAAGTCTATGTGAAAGAATATGCAAAATGTAAGATTGGAATGAATTTACATTAAATGTATGACAAAAACGCGAAATTAGCAAGTGTTTGGTAGATTTATATATAGAGAATGTTTCTCATCTGCTCACTAGTACTTGATATTCTAGCACTTTAGAACTGGCAAATGTGCAATAACATAGAATCATTTTTTTTTAGTGTCAATAGGTCCACATTTAGTGTTTATTTGTGTTAATGGTAGATTCAAATATCAAATTTCGGTTTATTCCTAGTCACCAATTTATCAAAATTTTCTATTGCTGTCATCATACGTAACACATGTGTATTATTTTTGTAATTTGCTAAACTTATATCAAACTAAACTTCCTAATTATCAACGAATTTCTCTTTAAAAATTTATATCTCCACTTTACAATTTATATTATAACTGCATATTATAACAAAAAAGAAATTTAAAATTGAGTTGGCAAATTGGTTTTCGTTGTAAACGTTGCAGAAATCTTATATCAGCTGATACAAACATTGCATTTCTTCGTGCACGAGCTGCCAACTAATTCAGCTTTTCAGCAGTGGATTTTAGTGACAAAATATCAAAAAGTCATTAAATCTACAAATTGATAACCTAATTAATTGACCTAAATAGTCGAATATAAAAAAAATAATTTTAACCATGGGTTAAGCAATGGGTTATTATTAACTATTGATTTAAAATTATTATTTAATACATAATAAAAAAAACTTACGTCAAGTAAATCTGTTTTGTTCATGATCGCCCGACGGTTTATGGAGGCGTCCAGAAAACTCATATGTGGATACCACCACAAAGATGGTTGATATATATCATCTCCGTCTGCTCCGGCTTTAATGCTGTTCTCAATTTTTTTCTTTTCGGCTGTATATGTTGTACGTATTGACTTAATTCTTTTTTTGACGTTTTCTGCAGTCATGTTTACTTCATCGCCAATCATAGCCATTGCTGTTTCCTTCCAGTCTACTCGTCTATAATTTTTGCAATCAATGTTCCATAACTCTTCATGCGATTTGTAGAGGTCAATAAATTTTAAAAGCCGCTCCTGCTTGGTCATTTTCAAATCCTAAAATATATAACGAAAATAAAGTACAAATGTTTGAATATACACTATTTATTTTCTTATATATATATATATATATATATAAAACTCCAGAAAAATATGCGAACATAAAAGTCAAGTACGGCTTTGGGTCAATTGTCTAATTAACGCTGACTCCAAGCTTCAAATTTGGCAGTGCAAGAGTTCAATCCCTGGTACTTGCGGCCCAAAAAATTATTCCAAGACCACTTATGATGGGTGTTTAGCAATACTCAAAACAGATGTATGGTCAGCCAAAAATTCAATTAATTAAAATAATATAAAAAAGAATATTTGTTATTGCAGTTCACTACTTTTCGAAAAAACTTCTTAAAGTTTTATGATAAAAATGTAACACATAAAAAATAAAAACATTTAAAAATAAATCAAAACACTTGCTTTTATTATATTCACTCACTTTCGTGCCTCTGCTCATATTAGAAGAAACGTCAAATTGCTTGAATATTTTTATTACAATTTTTAGGCAAGCAAATCTCAAATTTCCAAAAATTTGTATGTGTAAGTAAAAAGATGAGAGTGTTACAACAAAATTTGAGCTACTTGCCAAAAGCTTGCTAGTATAGTCCCTGCGCAATAAAAATTTAATGGATTTAAATTTAAAACTGTGATACTAAAATTCGTTTTCCCAACAGACGAAATTAATTTTGCTATATGTGGTTGATATTGTAACAAATTTAAATTTATTTCAAAATATTAATTCATATTAATTAAATATATTTCAAAATATATGAACTGTCTGCTATCTGGATAATTGGCAGCTGAGCAATTTCGTCAGAGTACAATGAAGACTGAATTGACACAACTAACGAGTTCTAGCACTAACACAAATAAAGCAGATCAACTAAATTCGACTCAAACATATTATCTATAAAAAGGCTAGGACACAATGTAATACATTATGAGTCTTTGAATTACCAGTTTTCAATTTAAAATTAATTATATATATAATTGAACAATTGAAGTTTAATATAATGTATAATAGTTAATGGTACGAAAATAATTTGTTATTTTTATACTAAATACTTATTAGAAAGTATAATATATATTCGGCGTTTTTGTTATTTATAGCTGACAGGGTGCATAGATAATTATGCAGCAAATGTTGCATAAATTTGTTTTTCTTGAAGACACCCTTTGCTCACTGTTTTCTATTCACTGCCTAATTACTTCAACGATGCAAAGTCGGCCATTGCTAAAATAATTCATTTTGTTTTGATATAAAATGGGAAAATGAGACATATGAAGGGTTTTGAATATATTAATTTATATTTCGAAATGTGTAAATAATGAATTGTATTAAGAGTAATGTGTTAAGAACATTCTTAAAGTGTATATATAAATATTAAAGGTGCGTGTATTCATATGTATTATAGCGAAAAAAAAATACAACTCCAGAAGTACAAACAAAAGTGAATAGCGAAAATATACACAATTTTGTGTAGTTACACAAATTTATTTTTTTGAAAAATGAAATTACTAAAAAACATAAAAAATAAGTATTAACTATATGCTGTTTAATTAATAATCTATTAAGAATATAATTATAACGAACTATTAAAGAAAAAATATGAATTGAAAAGAAATATTAAAATTGATTTCAATATATTTTCAAGCGCAAATCTCGGCGAAAGATAGTAGGACGCAACAAAGTAAAATAAATAAGTAGCGTGGAGTCGTGTTTTGTGCGAGTGTATGCGTGACCCGCGCTTGAGTGTATGAATTCTGAGAAAAATTCACGGCATCACAGATACCAACGAGTAGATTAAAAACGGCATGGAAAGAAGTGCTATAAATTTTGACAATTGAGTTAAATAACTTTTGCCAAATATTTTAAATACTAAAGTTTAATTATAATAAATATGATGCAAATATTACAAGAAAAATGTTATAATATATATATTTTTGTGTAATTGCGTTGCGGTGCATATAAAATACCACCAAAATTGGTATTATATTTTAATTGCTTTTGTTTATCTCTTTTTTTTCTTGAATTTATTTTACATTTGCTCGCTGGATTTGTAGATGGCCAGTTTCTGTGTGGTGGTGGCACATAATTTTAATTTTGGTGTTGCACATATATTGAAACTAAATATAAAAATATAAAGTGAATTTTATTAGTTAAATATATATATATGAAAAAAATAATATATTTATGTAATAATGTAAAGTATTATCGAAAAAGTGCAATTTAAAACTATATGATATTTTAGGCTAAAAATGCAACTATGCTAGTCTGCTTAATATTATGCGTTAGCACTCGTTAGTTTAATCATAAAAGAACTCGCTTCAACAGAAGAACAACGAAAAGATTAGTATGTGTGCGTGTGCAATTCTACGTATTACCATGCAAAAGAAAATACGGAAAAGAGCACCGAGCAAGCGAGAAAAGTAGAAAAAAATTTGTGCAAAATATTAAAATTGAATAAAACAAATAATATTTGAAAAGTATTAAATAAAAACAATTGAAAAGTTTACAATAATAATGACTATAATGTTATTTAATGAAATTCATTATAATTTTGCAGCAAGTACATAAATATATTGAAGCCAAGTCTTCAGTCAAATAGGCAGGGTGGCAGGCATTTACGACAGGAAAGACGCGACAAGATTGCAAGAAAAACAACACCAGCGGTATTAAATATAATCTGCAGTATAAAGAAGGTGGAGTTGTAGCATCAATTATATTTAAAATAAAATAAACATTTTAAATATAATAAGTATAATTTTTATTTTAAAATTGGTGCTCAAAGTAATATCTTATAATATATAAATAAAATAATAAAATTTTGTTAATAAAATGTATCCTGCACCGGTGCGTCACCCTTCGGCTGGGGTAAGTGCATATAGTGACATAAATAAATTAGTGATTTAAATGTTTATTAAAATTCTTCTTCATAATTAAAGGGACCACCACCCCAGGGACCCTTAAAGTTCACCATCGTCGATACACTTGAACGCATCAAAGAAGAGTTTAATTTTATACAAGCACAATATCATTCGTAAGTATTAGTTTTTTTATAGTTTTCTAACAAAAAAACCTATAGAGTAAAGTGCATTTCAATAAATATTTTATATTTAATTTTCTACAAGAAGGTACTAGAAAATTTAACTGATTATACAATTATAAATTTCTTACTTAATAAAGAGGAAAATGAAAATAATTTTATAAGATTTTGTTAAAGGATTTAGTAAATTTTAAAGGACATTGTAAAAAAAATATGAAAATGTGGAAAGCGTGTTTTAGGTATTGTTCGTTTCTTCCTAAACAATACACCGTAAAACCGGTTTTCATAAAAATATTTAGAAATCATGCCTACCTGTGTAAGAACAGAATTAACAAAGCACCACAAATATTACAAAAACTAAAAAGAATCCAATATAAATTTGAAAGTATACTGGCGTAAAAAATATATATAACGTACTTAAAACAAGTGCCAGAACACAATTCATATTTGGTAGTACTTATATATACGATTTATAGATTTAAAATATTTTACACAAATTAAAACGTCAATAATATATATGTAATATGCCTTCTCCCCTGTATTATAATATTGAATATAAGTTAAATACTATAGGTTTTATAAATATAAATTAGGTGTTAAATATTAATTGTTGTAAATTTTTATTGCAAACTTTCCATAGGGATCCACTCATGGTCTTTGGTAAAAATGAATTAATAAGTCCTTATATAATCGTTGATAGTAGATAACAGCAGCAGTCTGTGTCAAGGAGAACGAAACTGAATTAGATCTTGTTATATAAGTCTGTAGTTTACTTTTTATATTATAAAAAAAAATAATTATTTAATTTAATATGTTTAAATTTAAAACAATTTAGTTGTTATTAAAGTAATGACGGTGAGATACTCATTCACTTAAGTGTTCACTGGTGTTTGGCACGTTTTTAAATCTATTCGAAGCGCCCAATCGCTCCAACTAAAACAGTACTGGTACACCAAAAACAGACTTTATTAATCCGTAGAATGTTAACTTATTCACCTAACTAGAATTAAGAACTAATTACCGACTTTTGACGCTTACTCTCCAAACACTTGATCGTTACAGCGAAGATGTACTCTTTCCATACAATCCTCTGACGATTTAAACAACTTTTCCAATATCAAAAAAAAATCAAAATCATTTATTGAAGTTCTTAGGTTTTTCATTTAATTCATATAAATTTCCATTATTCTGTTCACACATTCATATATAAATAAATATATATATTAATATAAGCCAAAGCCATAGTCATCAATTAAGACCACTAAAAAAAAAACAATTGAAACGCATCTTTCATTCTAAATTAATAATTATTATAATATAGATAATTTACTATCTAAATTATATTTAATTACTTAAATCAGATCTTACTGAAAAATTTATGATATTATGGCTCTATAATAAAGACTAATATATCTTATGTTTTTATTCTTTTTGACCTATTCTAATGACCTATGCTAATCTGTAAATTATATATTAGGAATATTAAGAA